CTTTGGAGCCCAGCAGAAGTGCTGTTCTCAAAGCCCCTGTGACTCTGAGGCCACTTGTGCACTCCCAGGGGTGCCAGGCTCATTAACTGTGACAAGTGTGTCTCGGGCTCCTGAGGTCAGCAGGGAGAGAATTGCTCGGCCCAGGAGCTCTCGGTGCCTTCTCAGAAAACTATGTAAACTCCTGTCCCCTCTCACTCTGAGCACTCCCTGTCATGCCAGGGTCCCCAAATGCGGAAAATCCAGGTGAATTCAGCATTCATAAGTGAGACTTTTTTCATGCTTTTAAATTTTTTTCCTTTTACCACCCTCCATCCCTTTATGTGCATTTCCTTGTGAAGATGGGAAGCAAGTGTATCAACATTCTTAGGAGGCTGGAGACTTCTCATGTTTTGTACTGCACTCTGACAACACTGGATGAACTAGACCTTGAAGGACTCTCACAACTGTGAATTCCTCTCAGTATAAAGTGGAGGACAAACTATGACCTCTGAATGGACCGTTTTCTCCTCTAACCAAAGAACTCCCTCTTCTTTTTGAAAAGTCTCTTCATTCTCTGACCCTAGTGTAGGTGCACCAGGTTCCTGTGTTTTGTTGGTAAGTTTTGTTTTACGGAGTCCCCTGTAACCTTAGCAACATGTATTTATATTTTGTCTCAAAATTATACAACTCTGTAATTTTAACAATTACACAACTTTTCTGTGAAGATAACTGTTTTCATGTGCATATAATGAGTCAACGATGTGATATGTCTATATCAAAACAGAAAATAATGTTCTCATGCTGTCCATGAGCGGATAGCATTTCCCTTCACCTATGTATTATAATGGGCTCCATTAATGACAGCTAGAAAATGCAAAAAGAAAATAAGCCCGGTTGAAAGTAATTATGAAACCATACCTAGAATCAAGGAAATTTTTCAGTACTGGAAAACTGCACCTACAGTTAACTGTTGTGATTGCATCTTAAACTGAACATTGCAGAAACCATTCTAAGTACCAGGACTTGAGGACTTTGGCAAAGAAGCCATAGATGAATGCATGTGAGAATTAAGGGTGCAGAACCTGCCAAAGAACACAGGGTGACTGCAGTGGTACTCACATTATGAACGTTCAACATTCAAAGGGAAGAAATCTGCAAGCTTCCCAGACCAACTCCTGTAGGACAAGGGACTCCAAAATTAACCTCTCTTTCCTGTTTCAAGCCCTCATTTTCCTGTCCCAAGCCCTCATTTTCCTGTCCCAAGCCCTCCCTTCCTGCCCTAAGCACAATAAAAATTCCAATTGGGCTGAGCCCCGAGTGATTCCCCAGACCCGCTCTCGCTCTGTTGGACTAGATGGTCTTGCCTGGGAGTGAATCTCAATAAAGCCTCTTTCAGCAGCCTTTTAATCTGCCTCCTTTTGGTCACCTGTGCTTGACCTTACAACTTCCAATTGCAGCAACGTAGGAGGAAGAAATTTGTGGTACAGGAACTCAAGCAGCCATGTGTCCCTTGTGAAGCAGGAGTGGCCATCTGTGGGTGTCRGGGTGGAACACATGCATTCCCTTCCCCCGGTGTGTGGCACTGTGTGATGAGAGGTAATTAAAGTCAGCCTGAGAGGTTTTATCAGATAAATGCTTGCCAATGTTGTCCTGTATGTTTTTTCTCTTGTTCTTGTTATTTGCAGGCTGAGCATATCTATGCCCCTGAAAGACATTCAGATTTTCTTCAGGCTTAATGACAATATATGCACTTTCCTGAGAATTTCTGTGAAATACCATTTCCTTCAAGTAAAGAAATATTCTGTGGAAAAGGTTACAGGATCTGACTGTGGAAGTTTCTTCACTCTCTGGATTGTCTGGGTTTACATACCTGAAGAACAGCAGGTATTTGCAATTCAAATCCATGCATCTTAGTAGCATATGTTGATTGCTTCAATGAAGAGACTGGGGACTCTCACATATTTACTAATAGTTTTGAAATAATTTGCACACATATGTATAACACTGACTTTTTACTTTCCACTGTAGGAAATATTTTCACCTGTAGCTAAAAATTTCTTAATTTAATTCTAAAGCAGCCTGAATATTTTGTGATCCCAACCTAATAGGAGCAGGTACCAGGTTCATAGGGCTTGAGGGGAGTCCAAGGCCACAGGATTCATCAGTGTCACGACAGAAGARCTTGGTTCATCTAATGTGACTCTGTCTCACTGCATGCCTGCTCCCTGACTGCAGGAATGGATCCTGTGTAAAGGGGCTCACTCCAGATGCTTCCTGATACATTCTTAAGTACTAAGCCACATCAAAAGCAACTGACACCCAGCTTTTCAACCAGTGCAGATCCTATGCTCCCCCAGAGTGTATGATCTAACCAGGTGTTTGATTTAGAGTCCCAGTTCACACTGAGGAAGTCTGCTCTCTGACAAGTTAGACCTCTGTGAGCAAACAACAGAAGACTGCCAAGCTGGAGGAAGGACCAGCCCTTAGAATTAGCCCTGGCATTTCACCTCTAGGCACACACAGCAAGGTGGCATAGAAAAGGGAGGCACAGCAGACAAAGTTTTAAAGAATATTTAGGAGTGAGTAGGAATAGAGCAGAGAATGGCATTTGACTATACTACAACACTCGGTTCTCTGTGTTATTGAAGTTTTAGTGTATGATAGGAGTTAAGTGAACCAAGACTGCAGCCTAGGACATCCCATGAGTGGACAGCATTTCCCTTCACATTTGTATTATAATGGGCTCCATTAATGATGGCTAGAGAATGCAAAAAGAAAATAAGACCGATTGTAAATAATTATAAAACTGTACCTAGTATCAAGCAAATTTATGAAACCTGGCACTAAAGATTATAAAATTAGAAAAATTAAATAAATGTGGTCAACATTGTTTGCACTCTTAAGAAACAGCAGTTCTGACTAAAATGACTTATGGTATCTCTCAATTATGAATAATTTTCACTGATCAATTGAATGATTATGTTATCTGGAGCCCAGCCAGAGACCCTGCCTGGATCCTAGCTGGCAGGATTCAATTATCCATCTGCATAAGAAAATGTTACAAAAGGAAAAAATGAATTTTGTGCACTTTGACAAAGCTGGGGAGAAGCAGCTATGTCGTTTCTCCTTGGTCCCATAGAAGCATAACTTAATAGAACCAAAGCCAGGAGTTCCAGGTATAGACATTTAGTTTGGCTGGGCTGGCCAGACATCATGGCAGTCTCAGTTTCCTGGCTGCCCTCAGGGGCCATAGTTAGTTTTTTTCAGTTTTTGGCTCTCATCATGAGGACGTTAGCAGATACAGAGAAACAATTGTCAGAAATTGCTTTTACTTTTAGCTGGGTACAGTGGTGCATGCCTGTAATCCCCAAAACTCGGGAGGCTGAGGCAGGAGGAAGGCAAGTTCAAGACCAGCCTAGCAACTTAGTGAGTCCTTGTCTGGAAATAAAAGTTAAAACGGGCTGGGGATGCAGCCTAGTGGTAAAGTGTCCCTGTTCAATCCCCAGTACCAAAAAATAAAAAATAAAATTAAAGGGACTCTGTTTCAATTGCATATAGCTAAAAATGTAATAGACCACTTGGCTGTCATGTTTTACTTGATAGCTGCAGTCGCTATCTAGCTATTGTCCTRTGTGATGGGTGAGAACACAGAGGGAACTGAGACCACTCAGGGCACCCTTCCCCCACTAACTGATGGTTTGCTGCTGACACTTTGTTACTGGTGGAAGAGGGGCTTTACAGCTCCTCACTTCCTGGGTTGATTGCAGACCAAAGAGCCAACAGGTGTGGAGATCCTTCAGCTCAGCTTTGCACAAGGTGATTTCACAATGGTGTCAATACTGTTTAGTGGTGTGCTTCAGTGCCAATGACTTGGAGGCTCTCCAACACAGGTTTGGAGTGTTTAGAGGAGCCATGGATTAGTTTGGTCAAATTAACTCTGTTCAGAAAAATTATCTGTCATGCATTCAGCCTTAAAACACATGGAAGGCCATTCTTTACTTTCATAAGGGATTTCTTTGTTTTTCTTCATCAAAACCTGAAATTACAAGAGACACACTAAGTTTTTCCTAACCAAGAAATACTTAAAATTTTAAAATTTCCAAAAGTACATGTGCTTTATAGCTCAATATTATTTCCTTGTGTATTTACTCTGAATCATTCTTGATAGCACTAATTGCTAATTCTCAKGCTTCTCAATCCTAATATCAATTCCTCATTATCCTGAAATTAACATTAACATTTCTGTCTTAAAAATAAACAAAGAAAAGTTAGCAATAGTCTCCTATAGTGGATGATCCTTTTGCATCTGAATTTGCAAGAGTGGGTCACATTCCCCCATTCACTCATCCCACACAATTTGCCCACAACGTGAGTGAACTTACACTAAGTGTATTCTCAAGATATAGCCTGTGACTCCTGTGACCCTCGAGATGTAGAACATGACTCCTGTGACCCTTGAGATGTAGACCATGACTCCTGGACAGAGTGGGAGATTACCACCCATGTGGCTGAATGGCAGACAGACAACTCATAGGCAGATAAAGATGATTTGAAGATGATGGTTATGCTGACCATGACTGAGGGGCATTTAACAACGGTCCCAGTTGATCTGCACTAATGTGTGCTCACACTCATGTGTACACACACACACACACACACACACACATACACACACAGAGAGGGAGCAACAACCTTGGTACATTCAGTTGCCGCAGAGCATGGGTTACAACTTTATGTACTGTTACAAGTATTATCGTTATACAGTAGTATCTGCTGACATCTTGTCCAATATAGTTAGTGAATTTATGGCTTAATAATGATCAAATTTACTAAAAATCGGTATAGATTAACATTCTGATACAGATTAGTTGTTGYTTATCAGTTCTGAACTATTAAGAAAGCCATTTTAGACTGTTTCTTCCATCTCTTAGAAGTGTGATGCTTGACCACTAATCTGAATGTTCTGGTTTAATCCCCTGGGAAATGCCACCCTTCTACCTGGAAGACGTTGGGCTACTCCCGCCACCGCAGCCTCAATGGCAGGGGACAACGTGTCCTCCGCGAACTTCACCCTCGGGGAGGCTGTTTGGCACCCAGGAGACTGGGGGCCTCCTCTTCGCGGTCGTCTGTGTCGTCTTCTTCACGTCTCTGACGGCCAATGGGGTCATGGTCTTGCTGATCCGCGCTGACGCGCGCCTGCACACACCCATGTACTTCCTGCTCAGCCACCTGTCGCTCATCGACATGCTGTACATCTCCACCATCGTGCCCAAGATGCTGGTGGACTACCTGCGGGGCCAGAGGACCATCTCCTTCGCGGGCTGCACGGCGCAGCACTTCCTCTACCTGACGCTGGTGGGCGCCGAGTTCTTCCTGCTGGGCCTCATGGCCTACGACCGCTACGTGGCCATCTGCAGCCCGCTGCGCTACCCGGTGCTCATGAGCCGCCGCGTCTGCTGGCTGATCGTTGCGGGCTCCTGGCTGGGGGGCTCGCTGGACGGCTTCCTTCTCACGCCCATCACCATGAGCTTCCCCTTCTGCGGCTCCCGGGACATCGACCACTTCTTCTGCGAGGCGCCCGCGGTGCTGAGGCTGGCGTGCGCGGACACGGCGCTCTATGAGACGGTGATGTACGCGTGCTGCGTGCTGATGCTGCTGACGCCGTCCTCGGTGGTGGTCGCCTCCTACGCGCGGATCCTGGCCGTAGTGAGCTCAGCTGAGGGGAGGAAGAAGGCCTTCGCCACCTGCTCTTCCCACATGATCGTGGTGACCTTATTCTACGGGGGCCGCCATGTACACCTACATGGTGCCCCAGGCTTACCACCAGCCAGCGCAGGACAAAGTCTTCTCCGTCTTCTACACCATCCTCACGCCCATGCTGAACCCGCTCATCTACAGCCTGAGGAACAAGGACGTGGCGGCGCTCTGCAGAGGGCCCTGTGGAGACTCCGGGGCTCTCAAAGAGTGTCCCGAGAGGCCTTCTGACAGCCGGCTCTGGTGTTGCGGATGGCAATGGGAACCCTGGCTTGGTGGCCGCGTTCCCCCTGCAGGAATGAACTGGAGGGAAGGGTTCAGCTGTGCAGGAGGAAAGCAGCTAACTTGAAAGTGTGTCCCCTGTACTTTCCTCTCTCAGCTCTTTTTCTGTTCTTACACCTCCTTTTTGCCCTACTCGGTTCACATGTATGCAAAATAAATACCCAGTGGTTTCCAGAAACAAAAGTTGGAAAATTTCCCCTGGGGTTTTACCTTCTGGAGGTATTTTAAGTCATACGGAATTTTCAATGGCATGGGCAGTAGCGAGGAGTGCACTGCCTGTAATTCCAGCAACTACGGAGGCTGAGGCTGAAGGATGGGAAGTTCCAGGCCAGTCTCAGCAACTTAGGGAGCCCCTAAACAGCTTAGTGAGACCCTGTCTCAAAATGAAATAAATAAAAAAGGGCTAGGGAGTGGCTCAGTGGTTAACTGGCCCTGGCTTTAATCCCTGGTACTAAATAAATAAAGGGAGTACAGGAGGGAAGATGGTTCTTTGAGATCTATGACAATCGGGTGTAAGTCTAGCTCACTRTTGAAAGAGAAGAGGAACATCATCTTCTGAGAATCTTCCGGGCTCATTCATAGGTGGTAAGAAGAGCCACTGGACAGTTTCCTCCAGTGGTCATTGTCTGCACCACAATCACTAGGTGCTCATTATTTCCAGTAAAAATTCAGCATTTAATTTTTGTTTGCAGAACATGAATGAAAATGATTTATCTGATAAGTTACAGCTGATGTATGAATGCAAAAGGCACTTCCCAGAGGGCACATGAGCATACCGTGGGAGGGGTCTCAAAACATTGGAGAAATATGCAAGCTTGGGCTGGGGAGATGGCAAATCACATTTCAAGTGCATTAAGTGATCGCCAGTTAACCTGCCCAGGTGATAGAGGTCAGCTAAGTTCCTCTCCATCCCCCACTGATGCTGCAATTGAGGACAGAAGGCCTGTGGCAGGGGCTGGGAAATGGCTCAGTGGTGGGGTGCTCACCTATCATACCCTGGGTTCCATTTCAGCACCCCCCGAAAAACATGTGGCAGGCCATGAGAAGTGCATCATGTGCCAATACAAGGAGTTCACTCTTGGGGCAAAGGGGTGACTTTGCTCAATTTGCAGTGTCCAGGTGGAAGTGTCGTCATAGGAACTTAACCAAGGGCATAGCTAGAAGCACACTGGTCAGGCTCTCTGTGAAAGGTAATGACTCACATGCTTGTCAGTTCATCATCCTCTAAGCACTGCATGAGAAGGAAGCGCTTATTGATACCTCTGGTTACTGGAGAAATGCCAAGGGGAGTATAGAGAGCAAGGTTTATTTCAAGGACAGAAACAGACTTTTCCCTGGAGGGAGAAGGGGAACATAGCTGGTATCCAAAGAAGTGGGAATGTCCTGCCCCTTTGTACATCTTAAATTTTCTCTGCCTCATGCCTTCCTTCCTCCTTATCTCTCACCACCCTGCATCCATGACCAGTGGCCAGGGTGAGCCAAATGGTGAGGGCCAGATGGGCAAGAGGAGGGCCAAATGGTGGAGTGATTCAGGCATTAAGGTAAGAGCCAACTCTTAGGATTCCCTGCAAGGAACAGCTATTCCTGGGACAGGTTACCTCGGCAACAGGTTGGAGCAGGAGCAGGGGGAAGGGTCTTGGAAAGAGGAGGGGGAAAGGGAAATATTTGATTTTCTTTCCAACTAGCCCCAACCTTCCTGATTGAACACAATTATTTATTATCTATATTGACTGCCTTTTCCCCCCCAGCTTCATGATTATGAGTTCTCATTTGCAGGCAGGTGCAGTACAGTGTGTGTCAAGCAAGGAAGGGACTTCTCTGGGGTATGTGTGTCTGGGGGGACACACACCTTGCTGCCTTTAAAGGACCTTGGATGATAGAACCATGTGTGCAGATGTAGCTCCCTGAGTCAGGCATTTATTCACATTCTTTATGGCTGTGAGCAAGACAAAGCACCTGCACTCAGGAAATGTTTTTATAGTAAAGACTATGAAAAGAGAGCAACCCAAACGGGAAAGCAAGGGGAGTAACTTAGTACCCCAGCCAGTTTGTGTGTGGTAGTGTCCCAGGAAAGCAGGGAGCTAAAACTCCCAATCTCAGTTTTATGTTCCGAATTTAAAGTCAGACATCAAAAGTCATGCAGGAGAACTTTATTATAGGTGACAGTAAAACAAAAGTGAAGCTTGAGCCGAGAGCACTCTCAAGGGAGAGAGTGTGCTGTCTCCAATCAGAGAATGACAGAGAAGACAACGCTGTCCCCAATTTCACTAGTGTTTGATGTTCACTAGGAGAGCTGGGGGCCCTCTTCTGTACTCTCTGCCAGTCCGGTGTTCAACTCTTCCTTCATGTTGGGTGATGGAGTTATGGATCTTACTTGGTCCTCTCTGGAACTGTCATAGTGGCCATTCTTTTTAGGGAGGTTTCATCTACAAGTCAATCCCATGTTAATGTGGGCACTGGGGTCAATAGCTGGTCAGAAGTCATCTTAATGTGCCTGCGCTACTAATGGAAACTTCAATCCCAGAAAATTGAAGACACTTATGGCCATAATTCCTAGCTTCACATCAACCTCAGTGGACCCTGTCAATAATTAGTCCCATTAATCCTTTTCTCTTGCCATGTTTTACGAATAGCTCTCTTGCTTTTGTTTGCTTTCTATAGATTAACTGCCACCATTTGATATCTTAAGATAGCTTAAAGAAGGACCTGAGGTAAGTTAAAGAATACTTTGTGACCTTACCATGCATCTCACTGCCCACTGCTAGCTCCTACCTAGCAGYAGCTGTGAAGAGAGCTGAACATATCTGTGCCCTGAACCCAGCATGGCCATCTTTGAGTGGATTCTTAATAGACACCTGTGTATGATGTTCACCAAAGGAWGTACAATAGCCCACCAAATATGGAAGGTGCCCAGAACCCAGGGAGAGTGAAATGGTTAAATGCACGTGTTAGGTCCTTAGGGCAAAGTAACTCCATTTTGAAAATCAGCACCTGTTCACAAAGGCATGACCTTCTTGTTAGGCCTGCCTGCAAAGAGTTCCTAACGATCAAAACCACAATAAAGATGCCAAGTAACAATTAAAAATCACAGAACCAGAGAGGTTATTTTTTATTACTCCATTATACATGAATATATACTTAGGAAGTTTGTTCTAGCAGACTGTTGCGCCTTGCAAAGGGCAGTCTGGGAGATATCCTCTGTCAATAACCCTTTGCTTGACTCAGAGATGTGTCTCTCATGGATATTTGCACCTGCTACCATAGCAACACGTGGGACATGTTTATATAATATGCAGAAATGTTCTAATACTGCCTGCAATCACAGGGATTAATCTCATGAACGCTGGGTGAATTTCAGTCACAGACAGTACAACTGTGTCAAAGAGAGCTAACAAAATTGCCCACATTTTAGGAGGGTCAGCAGCTGGACAGCACATAGGCAGGCGTCTGGTGGGAACTGTTAATTTCTGTTCCTTAATGGGAAAGTTGATTTCACACCCAGAGTTCAGTTTCAGAAAAGTGATCAAGTTCAAACTTTTTATATGTTTAATACTTTTTGTATTACATTATACTTCCCACAATGGGGCAGTGGGAGCTACATAATTAGGCCAGTATCCTCCCCAGCACTTTCCCCTCCTGGCACCCTTCCACCTGGTCCCTTTCCTCTACTGAACGCCTTTTGATTTTCATGAGATCTTTACCCCCACTTTCTATTTCTCTTTCCTCTCTAGCTGCTGCATATGAAAGAAAACACACCACTCTTGACCTTCTGTGTTTGGCTTATTTGTCTTAACATAATACTCTCAAGTTCCATCCATTTTTCTGCAAATGGCACAACTGCATGCTTTTTCAATGGCTGACTAGAACCTCTGTGTATATAGAGCACATTTTCTTGAGCCTYTCAGCCACTGACAAACACCTAGGCAGGTTCTATATTTTGATTATTGTGAATTGTGCTGCTAAAATGTGGGTATGCATGTCTCACTAGAGCATGCCAACTTTAATTATCCTCTCTGGGATAAATACTGAGAAGTGGCATATTTTGGACATGTGGTGACACCCTTCCTAGTCTTGTGAGGCACCTCCATGCTGGTTTTCATATTGCTTAAGAGTGTCTTGCATTTTAAAGGCATTTTGTTCTCCAGCCCTCCTGGGCCATTCAGGTCCAGCATTCTGGCAGACACTGCTGGAGCAGATGCAGGGTATCTTCCAATTTGCTGTACCTTAGCCTATGTGAGGCATCTGAAGTGCTGGTGTGTGCCCAGCTGTGGAGAACAGGCTGTGTCCTCTTCTGGTTTCTGCCGAAGTACAGAACAGGACTGCTGAGGGCCATTGCCAAGTAGGAATGACGCATCGAAATTTCCTTGCCAGCGTACCCCATGTTAAATGGACTTGCCTTGGAAATTCGCTGTGACATTGCATGTGTGTTTGAGAAAGGTGACCCTGCTCAAGGACCAGGGTGGATCCAGGTTTAGGGTGTATCCTGCAGGTTTTAGGAAGTATCCCGCTCCTTGTGTTTAGGGCGTTCCCGGTTTAAGACAATTTGGGTTTAGGGCATTCCCAGTTTAAGACAATCTGGGTTTAAGGCAGTTCAAGGTTTAAGGTTATTCCTGCTGGGAATAGGGCGTATCCTGCTGCCTGAGTTCCCGGTTGAGTTCTCTGGAATTCAGAAAGTATTTGGGACGTGAATTGAAGGGGGCAGAACTTGGATTTCCCCAGAACATGTGTAGAGGCCGGTGTGAGTTCGGGAATAAAGAATTGCTGTTTGAATCTACAAAGCTGTGAGTGGCTTGTGATCTTGTGCCCAGCCAAGACTGCAGCAAGGACTTTTCAGGCCTAAACCTGGGTTACTCCATTTTGCAAAGCAGTTTGCCATAAGCAATTCTATTTTTAGTTTAAGAATGACTCCACACCTTATTTGTACAAGTAAGCAGTCACCACCTGCCTGG